AGCGTCCCTCCTGCCTCTCTGCTTGCCGGCCATGCTGTGCTGAGCTGAGGGACTCACAGGCCTGTACTTTTTTTGCTCTGTGTTTTGCTTTTGTTTTTAGATAGGGGTGGCCGGGTCAAGGGTCATCAGCTGTGGCTCTGACCCTCATCTCAGTCCAGAACGCGGCATGGCTGTAGGTCAAGGCAGTGATTCTGAATGTGCATTTCTTCCAGAAACTCCACTTGGAAATGTTGGCAGACCAGCCACGCACAACTAAATACCACAGCGTCATCCTGCAGAATAAAGAATCCCTGACGGATAAAGTCATCCTGGACGTCGGCTGTGGGACTGGGATCATCAGTCTTTTCTGTGCACATTATGCACGGCCTAAAGCGGTGAGTGGGGTCTCCAGCTTGTCCCAGGTGCGTGTGTCAAGGCTGGTGATGTCCGAGGTGGCCTCTGAGATGCCAACTTGTGACCCTGTGCTGTTGGGGGCTCACTGATGACTGCGTGGTCTGGGCGAGCGTCCTTGCACGTGGGGCTCAGGGTCAGTAAAACAGCAGGGTTGAGACTCCATGCTAGAGGCTGTGGCGCCCGCGTAAAGAGTCACAAACAGCACGGACAGGAATAGGGCAGAATAGAAAATATCCCATGAATTGCATGGGGCAGGGTATGTTCTGTGAGACGTTCATTTCAGCTGAGTATAGAAACAGGTGCACCCACATGTCTGTGCTTGGCCTTGGGTGTGGATGGTCTCATGGGAATGGGATGAATCCACATGCTGGCCCCCTCCCCACCCCTCTTGGGCCATCTGTGCTAAGCTGAGCCAAGTGGCAGCCTTGGAGGCTCCTGACATGGTGGGTGGGATCTCAGCAGTGTCCACCCAGGTCCACGCTCTGCAGGACCCAGCGCTTGGGCGCTTCCCACCAGACCCTTCCCTGTGAACCTGGGTTTGAAATTGTCTCACAGGCCTCAGATGTGGCACCAACCAGCATTGTCACTTGGGTGCTCAGCACTTGCTGTGCCGGTCATGGATGAAGCTTGCTATGCGTGTGGCAGCCAGCTGGGCATGCGAGGCTTCAGGCCACCTGCAGCCCTGTGTCTGTCTTGTGCAGGAGGTGGGGGCAGTTGGGAGGGTTAGAGGTGGCACCTTTCTAGGTACCCCGCAGGGGCAGGTGTGTCCCAGCCCTCGCTGTCTCCGGCTGTCTGGAATGCTGCTTCCCTGCTGTGTCATTGACCGTTTCTCATGGTGCTGGTGTTGACTCAGGAGGAGAGTGGATGACGGGCCCCACGTGGGCCGGGCATGCACTGATGGTGCTTCTGCCGCAGGTGTATGCGGTGGAGGCCAGCGAGATGGCACAGCACACGGGGCAGCTGGTCCTACAGAATGGCTTTGCCGACATCATCACTGTGTTCCAGCAGAAGGTGGAGGACGTGGTGCTGCCCGAGAAGGTGGATGTGCTGGTGTCCGAGTGGATGGGGACCTGCCTGCTGGTGAGGGCGGGCGTGCGGGCAGTAGGGGGCCGGAGCTCGGGGGGCTTCTGAGCACAGGCTCGGCTGGGCCAACCTCAGGATCTCAAGAGTGGCGCGTGATTCATTTTGATTTTTTCCCTAATGGGAGGTATAATTAATTTCTTATGTGGACATTGGCTCAGTGTCTTGAATTTTCACCTGGTTTAAAACAATGCCTTTATGAGAACGTTAAGTCAAAGTTCATGTAACATTTTCATGAGTGATTTATGTGAACTGTATTCTCCTCGAGATTCTGTAAAAATCCCATGCCTAACAGGTAAGGCTGTTTCTTTAATGCCAGCAGGGCCTTCGTCCCTGGCCGGGGTCTCCTTGCCTTAGACGGGCCCCCGTGATGCTGTGAAGCCACTTGGGCATCTGTGGGACCAGCATGTGCCTGGCCTGTCCGGCCATTCACCCTGTGTTTCACATGTGGGTGGAAGTGGCCTGTTTTCTGGTTGCTTGCCAATACGCCCTGCATAGATGCTATCCACTTGGAGGGAAGTGGCGGGAGTGTGGCCGAATGCTGTCTCCACGGCGTTCTCCTCCTGGGCTCAGTGTCTCGGGTCACAGGACGCTGCAGTGGAGCGTCCCAACCTGAAACAACTTCTCCGTATTGAGACCAAGAAAGACAGGCCTGGGTGCAGGAGTGTGGAGTGTGGCAGGTGCTTCCCCAGGAAACGGTTTCCCGTGGTAACAGATGGCATTGGGCCTTTAGTCTGGTTGAAATTTTGTGGTCAGAAGATGAAATGTAAATAGACTCAGAGTCCATGCTGTGACTCAGCTTATTAATAGGGTCTGTGGACCTCTGAGGGCGCTCGCCTTTGCCCCGGACACCAGTGCTCCTTCAGTACGTGTCTGCTGGCAGCTGGTGCCCGGCCATGGGGACAGAAACAGGGCCAAGGGGGGTGCATGTGGTGCGGCAAGGGGTGTGTGTGGGCACTGATGGGGGGAAGCCTGGCTGCCAGAGGGTCTGGCTGTGCCCTGGGCTGGGTGAAAGCAGGGAGGGACGTGGGGCAGAGGGAGGAGAGAGGAGTAGACACCGTGTTCTCCATGTTGCTGTGTTCCAGAGCTGCCCAGTGGCCGGACTGGCCAGACTGTGTTGCGTCAGGGAGGCAGAGGCCAGACGTGGGGAACTGTGTGTCTGAGGACGTTGTGCCTCATCCTGGACACCGAGGGGGGTGCCAGTGGTGTACGAGTGATGGAGAAAGAGGTGGGCTGTGTTTGGTAGGCCCCTGGGTGTGTGTGGCTGGGAATGGAGGCCAGGGACTGGCTGTGGTCCAGCCCCAGCATGCAGAGGCCTGGAACAGCCTGTGTGAGGGGAGGCCCATCTGTGTGTGAGGTGTACAGACTGCCAGGGATGGACTGTGGGTTTATTGTCAAGACACAGGAGCCAGGGCCTGGCACGGGCAGGTGTGGAGACGCAGAGCGGGGCCAGTGGGCAGGATGTGCCTATGGGGGCCTGGTGTGATGAGGAGGACGGTGCCTCCCAGCCCTGAGCTGCAGGGAGTGGGCCGCCAGGACCGGTTGTGGGCTGGGGTAGGGAGGGCCGTGGGGAGGATGGACATCTGTGTGGCTCTTGAACACAGGGTGCCCATCTGATGTGCAGGGCCAGCTGTGGATTGGGCAGGGGGGACATGGCCTGGGGTCTTGGTGGGTATTGGCCTGGAGGGCCCACCCCGAGCAGGGCGTTTGGAGGAGTGCTCCGGCAGGTTCAGACAGGACCATGTCTTTCTCCAATGCAGGCAGTGGAGGGGGAGGTGAGAGCTTGAGGCAGCTTCAGAGATCAGACTTCAGACTCTCCTGGGGATTGAGGGAGAGTCACCATCATTACTTAGGCCAAGGAGGTGCAGAACAGGGCGACGGGGCTGCAAGAGCTCCTATGGCCATTGTTGTTGGGATACAGGGTTGGCGAGGCTTTGAGGGAGGGAGGCTGTGAATTTGGGAGTCGTCGCGCCGCTGCACCCACCTCCAGTTTTCATCGCCAGGCTGTGCCTCTCCTGAGCTGCTGCACCCTCCCCTGCAACTGTGTGTCTGGCCCTCTTCACGTCCTCCTTGCCTGCCGCCTGCCCGTTCACAGAGCCCCACAGCCCTCAGGCCTTCATCTCTCTCAGCCCAACTTCCTGCTCTGACGCTGACATGTCGTGAAACTCAGAGACAGGGGTGCATGTGCGTTTAGCGTAGCGGAGGGGCAGCTTTCAGTCGGTGCAGCAAGGGCATGTGGTTGTTCAAAGATGCTGCTGAACAATCGATGATTTCTTCACACTGTCTGCTAAAGTAAACCTCAAGCGGCCCAAAGAGTTAAATATTTAAGAAAAGGAGGAAACGTAAAAAATTGTTAAAAGTTTATCTGTTGTTAGGATGGGAAAGGTCTTTCTAAGAACAGAGTTCATAATGAAGCTGTCAGATAAAATATTTGACAGAAAATTCCCCTTCATACATTAACACAGCTAAAAATTATTAAATGGCCAATGAAACTAAAGAATTGTAGCATGTGTGACGTTAAGAGTTGGAATAAGAAAAACATAAGCTAAAGATAGGGTAAATAACCTCATGGAAGGTGAGCAGGGACTGGGAAAGCAGGAGAGCCACAGGCCAGAAGCTTGAACATTGTTTTATGTCTCCAACAATTTAAAAGTAGCTTTAATAGTTTTGACCTGGGAAGTTCGCTGAGCAATCTTCTAATGTCTGATGATCCCCATGCTGAGCTTGTGGGGACATGTCCACCACCATGCACTCTTTTTGGCAGTGTACATGGGTAAAGCCTTTGGAAGGAAAATAGGGCAGAATATGTCAAAAAAGCATTAAAAATTTTTTCTTTTGTTCTTCCATGCTTTATTATTCCAGAAGCCGCAAAGTTCTGAAGGAGATGCAAGTAAAGATACCACAGGTGTCCTAGATTGTCAACAGACCATTTAATCATTTTTAACAAAGCAGATGACAGTGGAGCCTGATCTACGTTATCATTAGTTGTGCAGGATCTTGCTCGTTCTTCTGAGGAACCGTGATTTCCAAGAAGCAGGTTGTACCCTCAGCAGTCTCCCACTGGCCAGTGGCACTGCTGGTACAGGGGCTGCCTCCTGGGTTTCAGGACGCTTTGCAAAGTCACTGAGGGTCTCCATTACACATTTGGTAGAATTAAAAGACTGCCAGACTCAGTCTTACTGTTGTTAGTGTATTACTGCTATCATATGTGATGAGGACATATTATATTCCGTTATTCTGTTTAGCTCAAGGAAGAATAAAGAATTTGGACCAAAATTAAAACCAAATTATGACCAATTTTCTAAGCAAAAGAAACAAAGTAACTGCTGAGGCTAACAAAGATGTACTAATTGTCTTCAGACCGCCTTGTACTGTTTTATGGAGTATATTACCACAAATCCTGAGCTTAACAAGCTCATGAAAACAGGCACATGGCCAATAAGAGTTTAATTTCACACCAATAAAACTTTAGACTTTGGATTTATTTAGGGTCATCTTTACAGAATGCGTAGTTTACTCTAGGAGATGGATGGGACAGCTGCCCCTCAGCAAGACCCTGGCCTAAATGTATGTGCTTTATTTACACAAGAGGATTACAGTAAACAAGGGAGCTTTCAGTTTGTGGCACTGAAGGGCAGTCTGCACAGGGCACCCTGTAGAGGCCACAGCAGAGGCCGCCTGGCTTCCCAGTGGGACAGGCCCATGGGAGGTCTTCTGGATCCTTTGCTTGACATTCATGTTTAATGCCTTGATATTTGTCTTTGGTTGTATTCCCTGGAGCTCATATAGATCATTTTACTTTTCAGAGATGCTAGTTCTGGTGCCCACCTCCTCCCTCACACAAAAACCATCAACTTTTCTGAATTTCTTGGTTTCCAAGCTTGTCTCATACAAAGTAGAGATGTCTTTTTCAGGAAATATTGCCACCACATGCTTGAAGGGCTGCTTATGGCTTCGTCTGCATCTCCAACCAAGGTCTCTTCACCTCCTTCTACAACAATGCGCTTTGTCTGCACTGAGAGAAAAAATGAGAGCCTTTTTTCTTTTCTCGATTTTGTTCTGCTGTGGAGCATTTCCGAACTGTAACTTTAGAAAAAATGCAGCATCGTCCATCAACAGAGGGCACAGACACCTCAGGGGAGGAGGAAGGAGGATGAACTGGTGGGTCCTGAGACTGCAGAGCATCCTAGCTGGACCCAGAGACTGGGCACTGAAAAATATTTGATAAAATTATGCTAAGGAAATAATCAAATTTGTACAGAAATTTATGTTCAAAAATGTTCATGGCAGCACCATTTAAAATGAGGAGAAAACTGGAAACAGAATTGTAGCAATACATATGACCATTAAAAATTAATTCCAGGTATGATGGAGAAGGCACACTCCTCTCATCTCTCCCACTGAATGCAGCTATAAAGCCTGGCCAGCAGACAGGGAGGGACTGTTTGAGGACTCTGGAACAAAGACATAGTAGCAGTTGATTGGTGAAGAAGACAAGAATTTGAAGTACAGTCAAACATCTGTGGGCTCCACATCTGTGGATTCAACCTACTGTGTGTTGAAAATATAAAAATAACAATACAACAATAAAAATCAATATAAGTAACAGACCAATACAGTATAACAGCTGCTTACATAACACTGATATTGTATTAGGTAAAAGCAATGCAGAGATGATTTAAAGTCTGTGGGAGGATGTGTGTAGCTTGTATGTGAAAAACACATTATTTTATATGGGGGAAGCATCCAAGGATTTGAGTATCCACAGGGGTCCTGGAACGAGTCCCCCATAGACACCAGGGAACAACTGTATTCCTGAAACAGTCCTGAGTTGTCATTTTTCTTCTTCTCCCTCTATGTACGTCCATAGAGTGTATGTACATAATCCATGAAATGGACCAATTCTTTTGAAAACTGCAAATTGCCACAGTTTATCTAATATGAAATCGATAACCTGAATGTCCAATAACTAGTCAAGATACTGAATTAGTAGTTAAAAACTCTCTGAAAGATAAACCTCTAGTCTAAATGATTTCACTGGTGAATTCTATCAACATGTTTAATGAAGAAAAAACTCTAAACAACTTCTTTCAGAAAAGAGGAGGAAACACATCCTCACTCATTTTATGAAGTAAGCATTTCCCTAATACCAAAACCAAAGTTAGTACAAAATATGAAAACTATAGACCAATAACCCTGATGAGCATAATTGTAAAAATCCTCAAGAAAACATTAGCAAATTTAAACCAGCAGTATATAAAAGGAATAATAATACACCATAACAAAAAAAGAAACTACCCTTGGAATGCAAGGCTGGTTCAATATTTGAAAATCAGTATGGCAACCTACCATATTAACAGTCTGAAAAAGAAAAATCATGATTATATCAATACAGAAAAAAAATTGACAAAATTTAACATCAGTTCATGGTAAAATTCTCAGCAAACTAGAAATGAAAGGAAATTTAACGTGAAAACACCTACAGAAAATCCTAAGGAACCTATGAGAAAATTTCCTAAAACTAATAACTGAGTTTAACAAGATCACAGAGTGCAAGGTCATCATGCAGAAGTCATTTTTATATCCTAGCAATGTACAATTGGAAATTTAAAAATATCATTATAGTAACTTCAAAAATATGAAAGGCTTAGAAATCTAACAAAACATGTAAGATCTGTACACTGAAAATGATGAGATGATAATGAAAGAAATCCCAGAAAGCCTAAATAAATGGAGAGATAAGAAGTTTCATCCTGTAAAGGTATATATTCTCTTTAAATTGATCTGTAGACTTAATAAAATTCCAATCAAAATCCAGGCAGGATTTGTTCTTGTAGATAAGCTCATTATGAAATGTATATGGAATGTAAAGGAACCAGTGCTATGGTCTGTCCCCAGCAAATCTTATGTTGAAATTTGATCCTCAGTGTGGTGGTGTTGGGAGGTAGGGTCTAGTGGGAGGTGTTTGGGTCATGGGCATGGATCTCTTATGAGTAGATGAATGGCCTTCCTCATGGGTAGAAAACTGAGTTCTTGCTGTCTCAGGTCCCAGCAAGTCCTGGTTCTGAAAAAGAACCTGGCACCTCCACGTGCCTGTGCTCTCACCCTGTGGTCTCTGCACATGCCAGCTCCCCTTGGCCTTCCACCATGAGAGGAAGCAGCCTGAAGCCCTCACTATCTAGATTGGGCATCTGCCCAATCCTGAACTTTCCCAACCAGCAGAACCATGAGCCAAATAAACCTTATTTCTTTATAAATTATCCAGCCTCAGATATTCCTTTATAGCAACACAAAAATGGACTAAGATAACTAGAGTAGCTGATTCAATTTTTAAAAAGAAGAATAAAGTTGGAGGAACTATGCTACTTGATTTTAAAGCTACAGTAATCAGGACAATGTGGTATTGGTGAAGGGACAGACATGTAAGTCAGTGGAATGGAGAAGAGAAATAGATTTCTACAAATAGGTACAAAAATCAGTTTAATGGAGAAAAGGCAGTCTTTTCAGCTAATGATACTAGAATAGTTGTCATCTGTATCTAAAAAATAAAACCTCAGCCTCACGCCTCATACACCTGAACTTAAAATTGATTGTAGATCTAAGTGTGTAAAATATAAAGCTGTAAAGCTTCTTGAAGAAATCATAGGAGAAAATCTTCATCACCTGGACTTAGGCAAAGAATTTTTAGGAATGACTATGAAAGCATGATCCATAACAGAAAATGTTGATAAACTGAATTTTGTCAAAACTAAAAACGACTGCTCTGCAAAGGATGGTGTTAAGAGAATAAAAAGACAAGCTAAGAGTAGGAGACAATATTGTAAATAATATATCCAGTGAATGTTCTGAATATACAAAGAACTCTCAAAACTCAACAGGAAGAAAACAAGCTAATTGAAAATGGGCAAGAGACTTGAACAAACACTTTACGAGAGTGAATATGCAGATATTACATACACACATGAAAAGACGTTCAACATTGTTAGCCATCAGGGAAATGCACCTTAAAGCCAGAGTGAAATATCACTTACACCTATTGAAAAATGACTAAAAAAAAAAAAAAAAAATCTGGTAGTGATACCAAGTGCCATTGAGGATGAGGAACAGCTGAAAGTTGTGCATTGCTGGTGGCATGCCACTGTGGAAACAAGTTGGCACTTAACAGAGTTGTGTGTGCACTCACCGTGTGCCCTGGAGTCCCTCTCCTGCATATTCATCCCAGAAAAATGCGAGTTGTGTTCGCACAAAAATCTGTGCGTGAATGATTATACTGGCTCTCTTTATAAATGCCTAAAAACCTGGGAACAACTCAAGTGTCCTTCATCAGGATAATCCATAATGGATAAACTGGTGCATCCACACAGCAGAATACCACTGAGCAGTGAAGAGGAGCCAGTTATTTAAACATGTAGTTCGGAGGAACCCCAGAAACTTTGCACTGAGTGAAAGAGACTCACCTTGAAAGGTTATATACTGTTTGGTTCCACTGATACAATACTTTCAAGAAGACACAGACCATGGGGATGGAGACCTGATGAATGGCTTGCAGAGGCTGGGGGTGGGGGAGGGCATGGCCACCAGAGGAAAGTGTGAGGAGTGTTTCAGGGTGGCAGAGCTGTGTGTATGCTGGCTGTGGCTGTGAGGACAAAATCCACACAAGCGCTGAAGTTCGTAGGCTGTACACCAGAAAGTCTCAGTTTGACTATATAACTGAAAAATAAAAATAAATTAGATGTATATATTTTTTATGTGTGTATATAGAAAAATACTTGAAGATAAATTGCAGAGTGGTAACAGTGGTTCCTTCTGGATGCTGGGTTAATATGTGATTTTTATTTTTGTTTGAACTTTTGTAAGTTTTCTACTTTTTTTTTTTTTTTTGAATGGCTGTCGCCAAAATGCTGACAAAAAAAAAAAAAAATGCAATGGCGCGATCTCGGTTCACTGCCACCTCCGCCTCCTGGGTTCAGGCAATTCTCCTGCCTCAGCCTCCTGAGTAGCTGGGATTACAGGCACGCGCCACCATGCCCAGCTGATTTTTTGTATTTTTAGTAGAGACGGGAGTTTCACTATGTTGACCAGGATGGTCTCGATCTCTTGACCTCGTGATCCACTCGCCTCGGCCTCCCAAAGTGCTGGGATTACAGGCGTGAGCCACCGTGCCCGGCCAAGTTTTCTACATTTTCTATACAAAACATGTATTACTTCCATAATAAAACCTGCTTGAGATTGAAGAAAAGTAAAACCCCTCTGTTGCTTCTCATCAACTGCAGGATGAATTGCAAGCTCCCCAGGTGGCTTGCAAGGTCCACCTGCCTCCCTGATGCTTCCTCTACTCTTTTCTGTGTTTGAAGCAAGTTCTGGTTCAGACAGAAAGCCTGATCTTTCAGGGTGTTGGGTCCCCACTTCCGCAGTCATAGATGTGACGTCCTTCCCTTGACTTGGGACCTTCTGAGGGATGCAAGGTAGACCTGGGGACCACGTGAATGGCCAAGGCATGCCTGTGTTGCTTTCGGTTTCTTAAGGAGTGAGTTCAGTCCATTTAAAGGGTTGTGAAAATTCTGAGAATACTGCAGACCAAATATATCTTACGTAACAGTTGGGTCCCTGC